TTATATTTACGTCATATCAATTTGACCTGTTTTTGTTGCTATATATCTTTGCAGCAGAGAAGGTTTTTCACATTAACCACTTGCCCTCCAGAGGATTCCCCCCACCCTTCCTGACCAGGCCATTTTTTTGCATCTGAGGCTGCCAATGGTGCGCACCCCCTACCTGGAAATGCAAAATCACATGTATATATACATGTGCTTATGCGCAGCCCTGCTGCCCTGTTGTAGTATTTCTGGAAAGCGGTTAATGCATAGAATGCAAGAAGGTGAAAACCCTTAAGGCTTTAGAAGCACTTTAAGCCTCCTACACATAATGAGAACATCGGGCAAAAAAAAAAATAAGTGATCAACCAATAATCTATTCATTAGCACACAGCTTTCAAGAGCCAATCACGACAGTTCATGCGAAAATATCCGAAGGGACAAGCTTAAAAATGTTTCTCGTACGATAACAGAACTAATGATTTTCGTGTGATTAGTATAGTATTTATATGAAAAAAATTGAGCGACCAAGACCGCGCATGCTCGAAAACTAAAGCATACCTTACAATACAATACATGACATCACTTCCGAAGTTGTATTCTGTCTTAGGACAATTTTCGTAACTAATAAACTTTAATAATCATCCGTGTGATATTCTCATTGTAGGCTTTATAGGGTATATGTACATAAAATCACCATCACTCAGGCTATGTATCCCATCTTTAACCCCTTGACGCCGACGTCACACAAATATGTGGCATCACAAAACTGGGCTTTTTTTCCGTGGGGCCACATATTTGCGTGCCTGTCTTTGTGCTGGGAGTGCGCCGCACAGCGTGCTCCCAGCACAAAGACCGGGATGTCACTCAGAGCCCCGGGTCCTGTTCTAACGATCGGGAACCGAGACGCCTGATTCCGGGTCACATGATTGCTCTGATAGCCTCTGATTGGCTATCACAGTGATCAGTCATTGTACAGCCTGCCCCCCCATGTTTTTTTTTTCTCTCTATGAATGGAGGAGAGAGATACATTGTATCTCTCTAACTCCTGGCATAAAGGGGAAAAAAAAAAGATAAAAAGATAAAATTAAAAAAAAAAAAATTTATACATACAGTCAGGTCCATAAATATTGGGACATTGACACAATTCTAAAATTTTTGGCTCTATACACCACCACAATGGATTTGAAATGAAATGAACAAGATGTGCTTTAAACTGCAGTCTGTCAGCTTTAATTTGAGGGTATTTACATCCAAATCAGGTGAACAGTGTAGGAATTACAACAGTTTGCATATGTGCCTCCCACTTGTTAAGGGACCAAAAGTAATGGGACAGAATAATAATCATAAATCAAACTTTCACTTTTTAATACTTGGTTGCAAATCCTTTGCAGTCAATTACAGCCTGAAGTCTGGAACGCATAGACATCACCAGACGCTGGGTTTCATCCGACTTGGCCAGTGCATAACATTCCACTTCTTTCCCTTAAAAAACTCTTTGCTTGCTTTTGCAGTATGCTTTGGGTCATTGTCCATCTGCACTGTGAAGCGCCATCCAATGAGTTCTGAAGCATTTGGCTGAATATGAGCAGATGATATTGCCCGAAACACTTCAGAATTCATCCTGCTGCTTTTGTGAGCAGTCACATCATCAATAAATACAAGAGAACCAGTTCCATTGGCAGCCATACATGCCCACGCCATGACACTACCACCACCATGCTTCACTGATGAGGTGGTATGCTTAGGATCATGAGCAGTTCCTGTCCTTCTCCATACTCTTCTCTTCCCATCACTCTGGTACAAGTTGATCTTGGTCTCATCTGTCCATAGGATGTTGTTCCAGAACTGTGAAGGCTTTTTTAGATGTCGTTTGGCAAACTCTAATCTGGCCTTCCTGTTTTTGAGGCTCACCAATGGTTTACATCTTGTGGTGAACCCTCTGTATTCACTCTGGTGAAGTCTTCTCTTGATTGTTGACTTTGACACACATACACCTACCTCCTGGAGAGTGTTCTTGATCTGGCCAACTGTTGTGAAGGGTGTTTTCTTCACCAGGGAAAGAATTCTTTGGTCATCCACCACAGTTGTGTTCCGTGGTCTTCCGGGTCTTTTGGTGTTGCTGAGCTCACCGGTGCGTTCCTTCTTTTTAAGAATGTTCCAAACCGTTGTTTTGGTCACGCCTAATGTTTTTGCTATCTCTCTGATGGGTGTGTTTTGTTTTTTCAGCCTAATGATGGCTTGCTTCACTGATAGTGACAGCTCTTTGGATCTCATCTTGAGAGTTGACAGCAACAGATTCCAAATGCAAATAGCACACTTGAAATGAACTCTGGACCTTTTATCTGCTCATTGTAATTGGGATAATGAGGGAATAACACACCTGGCCATGGAACAGCTGAGAAGCCAAGTGTCCCATTACTTTTGGTCCCTTAACAAGTGGGAGGCACATATGCAAACTGTTGTAATTCCTACACCGTTCAGCTGATTTGGATGTAAATACCCTCAAATAAAAGCTGTCAGTCTGCAGTTAAAGCACATCTTGTTCGTTTCATTTCAAATCCATTGTGGTGGTGTATAGAGCCAAAAAAGTTAGAATTGTGTCGATGTCCCAATATTTATGGACCTGACTGTATGTGTGTGTATATATATATATATGGTAGTAACAAAAAACACACAGCTAAATTTAAAAAAAAGATTTTTTTTTTTTTTATTATTTTGGGCCAGTTTTCCTTTTGATAATAAAAATCAGGAGATATCCATTATCATTTACCACCAAATGAAAGCCCAATTTGTCCTAAAAAAAACGCGGTATAATCCACCCGGATCTACAAAGTAGTTGTGATGATATGTAGGGTTTTACTAACGCATGTCAATGTTGCAAATTTGTGCTTAGGCATTTAGATTTGTTTTACCCTTAGGCGTGAAGAGGTTAAAAACAATAAATATGTGCCTACAAACTGCTCTGTCTGTTCTAGGCTGAAGATCATGCGGTCCCTAAAGTCGAAGATGTGAAAGATGATGACTTGTACAGCAGCTCTGACGCAAGAGGTAAGTTACAAACTACCAATACTCGGAAAGACACATGTCCATCACTGCCATCCTGCATAAACCCCGGACGATCCATACACAGAGATAAATTCTTTTAAAGGGAACCTGAAAGCCCTCATGTTAATGGCCTTTGCCTGATCTACCCCCCCCCCCCCCCCCCCCCCCACACCTTCCTCTTAGCAGAGATGGGACTGTCTGGTATAGTCAATTTACACAGGCTGTCCAAAAGCATGCGGTAATTCTATTTTATTGAGTTTTCAAAAATACCATTAAAAAAATCTAAAAATCCCTTTGCTGGTGAATTTGGGTCCCCCTATAGTTCTACATAGCCAGTCACTTAGCAGTTTCATCCGGAGACAGAAATCAGTCCTTGAGCATTTGTTTTGTTATTTTATTGAGGGGATTAGAACTTGATAGGGGTAAGGGGGGTGTATAGGATGCCCAGAGAACCGAAATCTGAGGACAACTTCCTGAACTATTCACAGCTTCTTCTCTCTGACACAGTCTCTGTTGGAGAGAGAGTCAGTAGCTCCAACTGTACCACCCCAGACCCTAGATGAACTCTTCTTCACCCAGCAATCTGGAGACTTTCTTCCTGGGCAGGGGATCTGGCTTTAAATAAGGTGCACAGTCTCTAGCAGAGGGCTAATCTGGTTTCCCAGCAGGAGTGCTCCCCTTTTCGCCCAGGGGGTGTAGGTGTACTCACTTAGATCCTCTCCTATACCGCTTTCAGAATGGCTGCTGCTACCAGGCCTATCAGCTGGGTTGCAACTTCCCTGCCATACAGGCGGTCCTCTATCAGGGGGCCAGTGAGTTTCGAGTTTTCCACCTTTTCAGCTCCAGGATCGCAGGCAGGCCCACCTCAATAGACCCCCTGGCAGCCTTCCTCATCCAGCCTCATATCTTCCTGCTCCACACTCCTTTCCTACCACCACTCTCATCCTGCTACTGAGCAGGCTCTTCCACTTTTAAGGGAGTCCCAGCCCCTTGTCAATCCTTCTGTTGGGAATTGGCTGAGGTCCCTCGGGAGTTTAGCCGCCACTCCTCAGATCCACCCACTGCCTCCAAGGCCCTCCTCCAAAAGCTTTAGAGCAGGGGGAAATTCCAGAGAGGCTAGCCTGCAGAGCCTCTCAGCCCTGACTAGAATTTGACCCCTCTGGCTATCTTGCCTGAGCTGCTAATCAGCTCCTAACTAACCATTAGGGTCTAGCTCCCCTTAGCTGAACTAAGAGGGTGCTATACTACAAATAAAGTTCATCTAGAAGAAAAAAAATTGTACTCCCCTGCCCCCCCCCCCCCTTCCCATACCCTCAACAGGATCATCGTCAGAGTAAAAGATTATATATAGCTCCTGCAGACCTCACACAAAATAGACAGTTATATGGTCTAGGCAACATCTTGTAACCACACAAAGAAGGTACCACCATAGAGCAAACATCAAGCCCCCCCAAGAGTAGAGGACAAGTCCCAAAGGAAGCCTCCAGTGGGAGACCTGGTGAAATTCAATGTATTTTGGAAAAGGGAACATTTAGAGAAGGACCCTAATATGTAGAGCCATACCCCTCCTCTAAATCAGGATGAAAGAGGAAGTCAAGTCACCATTGCTGACGATCTTTCTTTAATAAAGAACCTAGCATGCTTTGTCAACTGAATGCCAAATGTCACTTTTTAATAGAGTACTTGTTATGGGCCACCCTTAGTCAATAGTTGGGATATAAGTAGGCAGGTGGTGGGTTTGATTGGCTTGCAGTGCTTATTATTTTTTATAAATCTTCCATGTCTGGTTTTCCCCAGATACACAACATGACAGGAAGAACCCTAAGAAACATCCTGGGAGTCCTCGGGACAGTGAGCTTACCGAAACCCCCGTTGACCTCTCTGTACACCAGGGCTGCTTTCCCAGTTGCCCCCTTCCTACAGCCAATGATGCCAATGAGTTCTTCCCTTGCCATGAGTGTGGTCGCTATTTTGTCCAAAGAGCCGACCTTGTGTCCCACCAGAAAACACATTCTGACCAGGCCACCAGTGAGGGAGCTTTCCCTTGTCTTGAATGTGGGAAGGCCTTTGACCAGAAACACAAGCTTATACAGCATCGCAGGATTCACTCTAAGGACAAGCCATTTGCCTGCTCTGAATGTGGGAAGTGTTTCATCTGGAAGTCCCTCTTGGCACGGCACCAAAAGGTACACAAAGATGAGAAACCGTACTCATGCTCCGAGTGTGAAAAGCGCTTCACCTGGAAGTCAAACTTGGTTGACCATCAAAGGATTCACAAGGGGCAGAAGCCCTATGTCTGTTTTGAGTGCGGAAAGTGCTTTGGGAGCAAGCTGCACCTCAGCAAACACCAACGCGTGCATACTGGCGTCAAGCCATATCCATGCACAGAGTGTGGGAAATGTTTTGCAGAGGTGTCGTCCCTTGTTAAACACCGAGGCGTGCACGCTGCTCAGAAGCCGTTCTGTTGTCTTGAATGTGGGAAGTACTTTGCGTCAAAGTCCAACCTCCTTTGCCACCGCCAAAGAAGCCACGCAGGAGAGAAACCATTCTCCTGCTCTGAGTGCGGCAAGCAATTTGCCAAGAAGCCATGGCTGGTGGAGCACCAGAGGACACACACTGGAGAAAAACCATTTTCATGCTCCAAATGCAGCAAGTGCTTCACACAGATGTCCTCTCTGGCCAAGCACTCGAAAATCCACACAGGGGAGAAGCCATTCTCATGCTCCGAATGCGGCAAGCGATTTGCTGGGAAGCCCAATCTGGTCCTACACCAGAGGACGCACACAGCGGTGAGAGGCCCTTCTCTTGCCCTGAGTGTGGCAGTTCGTTTGGCAAGAAGCAGTGCCTGGTCGAACACCTGCGCATTCACACAGGTGAGAAGCCATTTTCCTGTGTGGAGTGCGGGAAATGCTTCACGCAGAGGTCCAATCTCATGAAGCACCGTAGGACTCACAGCGGAGAAAAGCCTTACTCATGTTCGGAATGCAACAAGTCTTTTGCCAAAAAGTCCAGCCTAAATGGTCACCAAAAGAGTCACCAGAGAAAGGTGCCTGTGTGACAACTCAAAGACCGTAAAGATTCCTTGCAGTAACCATGCTGGGCTACCAAATATGGTGGAGATGGAGTTGTGACCCTCAGGCCTCTATTTTTCACCAGAAGACATGACATGGGTGCCCCCAGCTTCACTGTACACAGCTCCTATAATGAGAATGGACACATCTCAGGAGCTGGGACCCTGGCAACCCCACATAATTTACAGCCGATACCTAATTTTTATATCTGCTTTTTTATTACAGTCCCTTTTGGGTTAGGTTACTGTCCAAGCTGCTGAGACTCCATGTTGTATTTGTACCCATAATCCCCTGCTACTGTAGACACGGACTTGGTGGCATGTAGTCACATGGTTTTCCAGTAGGAGGATAAACCTAAAAGAGCTTTTGTACTCGAAGACTTCAATCCCTTGGCTTCTCAAGACGACCATACCTCCTAAAGAACATAATGCAGATGGTTGCTGGTCTGTAAACTCTCACAGACCATAAATCAGATGGTGAAATGTATAGTTTTAGGGTCTCAAACACTACTGGAGAGAGGAGGCAAGGTGAGACAGGTCTGGACTTTGTAGCCGGGACATAATCAAGGCTCCAGATTATAATTCAGGCTACATGTACACTACAATCTAACAGTATTCCTGTGGTTAGCATAGCCATACCCTCTGCAATGTACCCGATGTCACATGACCGTCCTCCAGAAGGTTGGCTGTTGTCTGAGGGCTGGTTTACACCTGAATCACTCAGAAACGCTGACCACATTGCTGTGCAATTTCAATTCAACTCAGTACAGTGCGATTTTTCAGCCCATTCATTTGTACCTGAAAATAACTGTCCTTCTGACTATATGATTTTACTTTACCTGCACTATTTTCATGTATTTCAATCATCTATTAGTGGTTGAGTGTGCATCAGGCAGTGCAGTATGAAGCCTTGCTAAACGGCTGCTGAGCTAAAATCAATGTCAAGATAGGCCATGCCAGAGCTTGAAAAATCCCAGGTGCCAGGTCGATTAGAAATTGCATCCTGTGCCGGGCTTCATACACTGCCTACCACTGACTTCAATGCAAAATCGTGTCCCTTTGACTTCATTGCAAAAGCACCTCCCATTTACTTTAATGCAAAAATGCTTCCCATTGACTTCATTGCAAAAACGCCTCTCGTTGACTTCAATGCAAAGACGCCTCTCGTTGACTTCAATGCAAAGACGCCTCTCGTTGACTTCAATGCAAAAGCACCTTCTATTGACTTCAATGTAAGAATGCTTCCCATTTACTTCAGTGCAAAAACGCCTTTTATTGACTTCGATGCAAGAATGCTTCCCATTTACTTCAATGCAAAAACGCCTTCTATTGACTTCAATGTAAGAATGCTTCCTATTTAGTTCAATGCAAAAACGCCTTCTATTGACTTCAATGTAAGAATGCTTCCTATTTAGTTCAATGCAAAAACGCCTTCTGTGGACTTCAATGCAAGAATGCTTCCCATTTACCTCAATGCAAACACGCCTCCCATTGACTTCAATGCCAGAATGCTTCCCATTTACCTCCAATACAAAAACACCTCCCATTGGCTTCAATACAAAAGTGCCTCAGATTGACTTCAAAGCAAAAACGCCTCCTATTCAATTCAATGCAAAAATGCCTCACATTCACCACTTCAATGCAAAAATTCTACCCATTGACTTCAATGCCAAAACTTTTGTCAATAGCAATCCTATTGGAACACTTATCTCCGCATGCCACTCTACTCACTTGCGAGTCTGGAATGCACTTCCCTAGGTAACGCCCACATGTGACACTGAGACTCCATGAGACTGAAATCCAATAAATGAAAGGGACGGGGCAGGGATTGTCAGGCTGGGGAGGAAAGCGGTATATGATGCTGGACGTCCTCTAGCCAGATTTGCTGTATCTTCTAATGTACAGTGTGAGGAGCTCACAGTGTGCAGTAAAATCAGAGGAAGCCGTATCAGTCCAGAAGAGGAGCTGGTACACCTAGGCAAGACTGAAGGGGAGGAGCTGGTACACCTGGACAAGACTGAAGGGGAGGAGCTGGTACACCTGGACAAGACTGAAGGGGAGGAGCTGGTACACCAGTGCAAGTCTGAAGGGGAAGAGCTGGTACACCAGTGCAAGTCTGAAGGGGAAGAGCAGGTACACAGTGCAAGATTGAAGGGGAGGAGCCTGTACACCATGCAGACTGAACTGAAGCCTGTACACCAGTGCAAGGACTGAAGGGGAGGAGCAGGTACACCCGTGCAAGACTGAAGGGGAGGAGCAGGTACATCTATGCAAGATTGAAGGGGAGGAGCCTGTACACCAGTGCAAGACTGAAGGGGAGGAGCCAGGTACACCCGTGCAAGACTGAAGGGGAGGAGCAGGTACATCTATGCAAGACTGAAGGGGAGGAGCCGGTACACCTGTACAAGACTGAAGGGGAAGACCCGATACACCTGTGCAAGACTGAAGGGGAGGAGCCGATACACCAGTGCAAGACTGAAGGGGAGGTTTGAATAAATACATCAAATGGTAAAGGGCTTCCAATGGACTCTAGATAGTGAAGTACACACAACAATACATATAAAAAACAAATGATATAATCAGTAGCTCCTAACAGGTGAATCTCTTCAAAAGTCGCTATGACTACTACAACAACATGCCGAGGCAACAAATCACAAAAATGAATTAAAATAATTATACAAGCAAAAGTTTTTACAAGCAGTATAACATTGCACTCACATGTCAAAAGACTCAAAGCATTTACAAACATGGTATCCTGTCTCCAGCCAACATGATGAAGTCACCGCTCTCTTGATGTGTTTTGGCTTTCTTTGAGAGCCTGTAAGAAAGCCAATCCTGGCTGCAGTGACGTTATCATGCTGGGCAGAGTCAGAATGCCATGTTTGGAAATACTTTGAGTCTTTTGACAGTTGATTAGCAGTCCGCACTATTGGCCTATTTTCTGCTTCCTTTATGTCATCTCTGTACCTGGGAGTCTGATGACCGTTCTCTTTGCGGAGATTTGGAGAGGAGCAGTGTTTACATATAAACAAAGTGCAGTTGACTTCAGGAGGTGTGGTAAAGGGCACCATGTTGAAGGACATTCCTTTGCAAAGCAATCGGAAATTGTTTGTGATTGCATGAAAGTTGGATGGTGTATGGGACTGCATCATCAAATCTGACGTGTCACAATATACAGTACCGGAAACAGGCCATCCTTGAGCTCCAAACAGTGGCTTTGCCTAGGCTGAGATGATGTCATCAGTTTGCTACAGGCAGGAGGAAGCATTTCCTCAGTCTCCTCTCTCCCAGACTGTACATTGGAACTCTGTAGCAAATAGCAAGGCGAGAGGCTGCAGCAGGGGGCTCATCAGTGTCAGACATTTGTGAACACAGCCAAGAACTTCACGGACAACAGGATTTACATGACTGGGTCATCTCTAAGCCGGCATGTCGGTCCAGGAAGTAGATGGTGACCCTGGATGATGCCTGAACAAACATGGCGCCGTCCCTCCCAGAGGAAGATTCCTGTGATCCCCTTGAGAAGTAATGAGTCCAATATGTATTCTCATATAGATTCCTAAAAACACTATAGTTGCCCTCCTCTAACAGGACCATAGTAAAAATTCCAGTCTGTGGATGGGCCAAGGTGTGCGGGCCTTAAAGGGCATGTACCATGCATATTTTAATTATATTTTAATTATACCATTGTGTGTGCTAGAAACATTAAAGGACAACTGCATATACCTTTTCTGCTAGGTTTTTTTTTTTTTTTGCTTCTACAATTCCCTGTACATACCCCTGCCATCTATATCCGAGTGCAGTGATTGTCATCACAAGACAGGAGCTTGGGGGTGTGGCCTGCCAGTGCTGGAGGATGGACAGGATGATGTGATGGGTGTGGTCTGGATAGTGACTGTCTGCAATTGGAGGAGAGAAGGGCAGATTGTTCTACTTTGATCAATAAGGTAAAAATATATATATATATATTGTGACTGTAGAAATCTCCCCTCTTATCGCAAATCCTCACCCCAAATCCCCCCTTTAATGGCAAATCCTCACCCCAAATCCCCCCTCTTATCGCAAATCCTCACCCCCAAATCCCCCTTCGTTGCAAATCCTCACCCCCAAATCCCCCCTCTTAGCGCAAATCCTCACCCCAAATCCATCCTTACAACAAATCCTCACCCCAAATCCCCCCTCTTAGTGCAAATCCTCACCCCAAATCCACCCTTACAACAAATCACCCCAAAATCCCCCCTCAACGCAAATCCTTACCCTAAATCTACCCTTAGAACAAATCACCCCAAAATCCGCCCTTATCGCAAATCCTCACCCCCAAATCTCCCCACTTAGCAAAAGTCCTCACCCCTAAAGCCCCCCTCTTAGCACAAATCCTCACCCCCAAATCCACCCTCAGCACAAATCCTCACCCCCAAATCCACCCACAGCACAAATCCTCACCCCCAAATCCACCCTCAGCACAAATCCTCACCCCCAAATCCACCCTCAGCACTAATCCTCACCCCCAAAGCCACCCTCAGCACAAATCCTCACCCCCAAAGCCACCATCTTATTACAAAAACCCCAAATCCCTCCTCTTAGGGGGGATTTTGGGTGATGATTTGTTCTAAGAAGGGGGATTTGGGGTGAGGATTTGCAGTAAGATGGGGGATTTGGGGGTGAGGATTTGTGCTGAAGGTGGATTTGGGGGTGAGGATGTGTGCTAAGAGAGGGGCTTTAGGGGTGAGGATTTGTGCTAAGCACAAATCCTCACCCCCAGATCTCCCCTCTTAACATAAATCCTCAACTCCAAATCCCCCCCTTAGCACATATCTTCATCCTATGCCCCCTCCTTAGCAGAAATCCCCTCCCGTCTACATCACCTTCCTAGCACAACTCCTCTCCATTCCCCAGATTCCCTCCTCCCAGCACTAATATTCTCCCCCCCCCAGCAACAATCTTGGTTATTCCCCCCCCCCCCCACACACACACACACACAGATTGATATGTCACAATCCCCCTCCCTCCCTGAATTTACAGACCTCAAAGTTGGAGCCAAAGGAAAGCTTTCCTTTTCCAGTGTGAAGGTGCCCCATCATTAGTGTCAGTGTGAGGAATAGTGCCCCATCATTGGTATCAGTGGGAGGAATTGTGCCCCATCATTGGTGGTATAGTGCCCCATCAGTGTCAGTGGGAGGAATTGTGCCCCATCATTGTTGTCAGTGGGAGGAATAGTGCCCCATCATTGGTGTCAGTGGGAGGAATTGTGCCCCATCATTGGTATCAGTGGGAGGAATAGTGCCCTATCATTGGTATCAGTGGGAGGAATAGCGCCCCATCATTGGTGTCAGGGGGAGGAATAGCGCCCCATCATTGGTGTCAGTGGGAGGAATAGTGCCCCATCATTGGTGTCAGTGGGAGGAATAGCGCCCCATCATTGGTGTCAGTGGGAGGAATTGCGCCCCATCATTGGTGTCAGGGGGAGGAATAGCGCCCCATCATTGGTGTCAGGGGGAGGAATAGCGCCCCATCATTGGTATCAGTGGGAGGAAGTGCCCCATCATTAGTGTCAGTGGGAGGAATAGTGCCCCATCTTTGGTGTCAGTGGGAGGAATAGTGCCCCATCATTGGTATCAGTGAGAGGAATAGTGCCCCCTCATTGGTATCAGTGGGAGGAAGTGCCTCATCATTAGTGTCAGTGGGAGGAATAGTGCCCCATCTTTGGTGTCAGTGGGAGGAATAGTGCCCCATCATTGGTATTAATGGGAGGAATAGTGCCCCCTCATTGGTGTCAGTGACACCAATGAGGGGGCACTATTCCTCCCACACTGACACTAATGATGGGGCACTATTACTCCCACTGACACCAATTATACTTACATCGCTGTGCTGACCCCTGCGCCAGCCCAGGCTCCCTCCTTCAGGCACAGACACTTACCCATCAGCTGTCTTCCTTCTCCAGCCGCTCTCCTCCTCTTCACCGGCTCCAGCCTCCAGCTGATCCCTCACTCGATCTTCAATCTTCGTGCTGCCGGTCAGCTCCTCCTCTCCAAGCTCCGCCTCCTCGCCTGTGATTGGCTGCCTGTGTGCTTTTTCTGAGCAGGCGAGAGGAGCGGAGCTTGCAGAGGGAGGGACAGGCTGCCATAGGCTGCCCAGTGATCCCAGGGGTGTGGCCAGATTGAAGGGGCGGCTTGTCATCCCGCCCACATCGCAATCAAGATCCAGGAAGATGAAGACACCGGACGGACACCCTCTGCACCCCTCCTCCAGCAGTGCCTTGTGGACCGGATTGACGTGGGACACGGAGTCGCAGACACAGGTAAGGCACAGCAGCCCCTGTCCCTTTCCCACAGAAGTGTCCCTTCTGTGGGAAGGGGGGGGCGGCGCTGCTGCCGTGCCGCCCCCCTGAAAAGTGCTGCCCTAGGCAAATGCCTTGTTTGCCTTGCGGCAAATACGCCCCTGGTGTGTATCCAGGTCCTGGTGCCTCTGTGCAGTGTGAAAGGTATATCTTAACCACTTCCGGTCCAGCCCATCTTTATAAACAGCCGGATGGGAGCAGTGCAGGAGTGGGTGGCCGTTTATAAACGACGCCCGAATTTTCAGCCTGTAAGCGCTCCCTGTGATTGGTGCCCGCTGTGTCCTCCGGAGCACTGATCGCTGTACGGGATCTCTGTGTGAGGTCCTGATCATGTGATCACTGATTGGCCAATTAGTGATCACATGAATAATAGTAAGCAAGATGTCACTTCTGACATCATTGCTTACTACTTGTGAAATCTGTGAATGATCACAGAGATCACATGGTACAGGGCAATTCACAACAACCTTGTACCATGTGATAAGCTGTGACCAATCACAGTATTTCTCAATGGCTGCAGAAATGCAGCCAGAGAGGGAGAAATGATTGCTTTTACAGCCTTTATGGGTATAAAAGCAATCAGTGTAAAAAAAAAAAATCTTCATCACCCCCCACAAGCAGTAGTGTCACAATGGTGACACTGTACTGCTAGGGTGACAGTATGTTAGAAAAAATGTAAAAAAAAAAAAAACAAATAATATAAAAAAAACAAAAATGTAAAAACTATTTTTGAAAAATTATAATTTTTGGTTATAAACTAATTTGTTTTTTTTTTTATTTTACTAAAAAGATAGCGGAATACAATTTGGCCAAGATTTATGAAGAAAAACACTTTTTTTCAAAATTTTTGGACTTTTTCATTTATATAGCAAAAAAAATAAAAATCCCAGTGGTGAATAAATACCACAAAAATAAAGTTGTATCTGTCTCAAAAAAAATGCTAAAAAATTCATATAGGTACAATGTTGTATGACTGCACAATTGTCATGCAAAGTGTGATAGCGCTGAAAGCTGAAAATTGGCCGGGACAGGAAGGGGGTGAAAGTGTCCGGACTTGAAGTGGTTAACTAGCAGAAGACGGTGAAGGTAGCCATTTCACAATAAGGACTAGTAAAAGATTCCCCCAAAACTCAAGTCTTGCCAACAAAGAATATCTGTAACCCATTTTTAGACTTTAGGTTGAAATGAATTTGAGCTAGGTTCACTCAAGGTAAAGCATCTGGTTCCTTCAGTTGGTGGCAAGGGCAGCAATGAAATGAGCGTGTTGCTTTGCCTATCATGAGGGCTTGGTTGTAGACATATACAAAGGTATGCGAAGTAGCACCTACCAATTCCAGACACTTCTGTTGTTGCACCTCTTTGTGGGTGTGAATTTTCCTTCTGTACATTAAAAAGGCATCCACTTGTTAGTGTAGTCCACATTTTACCATGGCAGATTACCTAGAATGTAAAACCAATTACAGTACATCTGTCCCTGCCCCTTGAAGGACCTAAATCTTTATCATCCCCACCACACTCCCCAATGACCACACCGTAGGGGAGATTTTGGATGGGAAATGGTTGATCTTCCAGTATGACCATAGTAGCTGCTACAGTGAATTCATATTTTGAAGATCAGTAAAAACGTTAAAAAAAAAAAAAACTTCACTCTCTTGCTTTGTCAACCTTCTACCCCAGTAAGGAGTCTTCACTGGCTGACTTTGGTGTGGAGACCTGCATATCGTTTTCTGCAGAATCCACCTGAGAAGCAGAAGAAGAGAGGACCTGGAGTCCCCAGAATGTGACACAAGCAGTAACAGTGGCTCCAAGTTGAGTATCTCCGGGGCCCCTTGCCAGAAGCACATTGACACAGAACAGAAGACTGAGAAGCATGATCTGGCCATTTTGATTGCAATGTTTATTCACACTCTAACTGCATTTGCAAAAGAGAAGGCAGATTTTACTGAGGGCACAAAAGGCCACCAGTAACCAACAAAGACGACTGCCAACCTTCAGGGCTAGGTGTCACCACCAAGAGGTTGTAAACTTCACTATCTTGCTTTTCTCCACCTTCCACCCCAGTATGGAGTCTTCACATGCTGACCTTGGTGTAGAGACCTGCAGACTATTTTTTGCACAAGAATTCACCTGAGAAGCAGACAAAGAGAGCACCTGAAGCCCTCAGTATGTGACACAAGGCTCAAAGCCGAGTATCTGCAGGAGCCCTTGCCAGCACCACACTATCACAGAACGTAAGACTGAGGAGCATGATCAGGCCATCTTGTTTGCAGGTTTTATTCACATACTAAATGCATTTGCAAAAGAAGGCAGTTTTTTACGGAGGGCACAAAAGGCCACCAGTAACCACCAAATTCGACTGACAACCTTCAGGGCTAGATGACACCACCAAGGGGTATAAACTTCACGATCTTGCTTTTCTCCACCGACCACCCGGTATGGAGTCTTCACATACTGACCTTGGTGTAGAGACCTGCAGACTATTTTTTGCACAAGAATTCACCTGAGAAGCAGACGAAGAGAGGACCTGAAGCCCTCAGTATGTGACACAAGCAGTGATAATGGCTCAAAGCCGAGTATCTCCAGGACCCCTTGCCAGCACCACACCAACACAACACAAGACTGAGGAGCATGATCAGGCCATCTTGTTTGCAGGTTTTATTCACATACTAAATGCATATGCAAAAGAAGGCAGATTTTAACCACTTCAAGACCGGACACTTTCACCCCCTTCCTGCCCAGGCCAATTTTCAGCTTTTAGCACTATCACACTTTGAATGACAATTGCGCGGTCATGCAACACTGTACCCATATGAATTTTTTAGCACTTTTTTGAGACAGATAAAGCTTTATTTTGGTGGTATTTATTCACCACTGGGAATTTTATTTTTTTTGCTATGTAAATGAAAATGTCCAAACATTTTGAACAAAAAGTGTTTTTCTTATACAATTTTGCAAATAAATAATATTTCATCATAAATCTTGGCCAAAATTTACTCCGTTATCTTTTTCAGCAAAAAAAAAAAAACCCAAATTAGTTTGTAACCAAAAATTATCATTTTTAAACATTTTGTTTTTACATTTTATTTTTTTTATATTATTATTTGTTGTTTTTGTTTTTACATACTGTAACCCTAGCAGTACAGTGTCACCATGGTGACACTGTACTACTTGTGGGGGGTGAGGAAGATTTTTTTTTTTTTTTTTACTCTGATTGCTTTTACACCCATAATGTAAACTCCTTCTCTCTAGCTGCATTCTTGCAGCCATTGAGAACTACTGTGTGAGCTGTGATTGGTCACAGCTTGTCACATGGTACAAGGCTGTTGTGAATAGCCTTATACCATGTGACCTCTGTGATCATTCACAGATTTCTTACATAGTAAGCAATGATGTCACAAGTGACATCTTGCTTACTACTCTGCATGTGATCACTGATTGGCCAATGAGTGATCACATGATCGGGACCTTGCACAGAGGTCCCGTCTGACGATCGGTGTTCCACTGTGTCCGGAGGACACAGCGGGCACCAGATTGCGGTGCTGCGCACTCCCAGGGAGCGCGCACAACTAGAAAATGTGGGTGCCGTTTATGAACGGCAACCCGCCCCTGGAGTGCCTCTGTCCTGCCGTTTATAAACAGCAGGTGGAAGGCAAGTGGTTAAGGAGGGCACAAAAACCAACAGTAACCACCAAAGATGATTGATAACCTTCAGGGCTAGCTGTCACCACCAACAGGCCACTAACACCCTTTTTTTTGTAATTCTTTATGAAAAAGTTTTTAACAGACAAAGGGAACCAAACAAGAAGTTCACCAAAATATAAGAAAGGCAATATAAACACAACATCTTACAGTATTCAACCAAAGACATGGTACATAGATACACTGGGCTTCCATTGAGCAGTCAGGTTAGAGAGAAGTAGGTCTGAACTATGACCATTGGGCCCAGCCAGAAACAGAAAAAGGGTATGGGGACTGAGGGTAAGTGGGACAGTGAATAGAGGGTCTCTACAGTAGAGGTCCTCTGACTGCCATTGGAGAAACATGAAAAAATAGAGCAGAACAAGGTAAAACTAGAAAAGCTACAATTTCTGGGGAAATTGTGTGAAGTGTTCTTGCCTCCACCAGTAGTCTACAACTGGAGTGGGAGGAGTAACTGGGTGGAGTGGCTTGTCACTCTGCTGCCTGCTCACACACCTGGGTTCCTATGGCAACTCACTCTACAGCAAGGGCAGAGAAGAGCGGTTAAAAACAAACTGCTCCAACTTGCTCACTTCACTGGCGGTTGCCATCTTCAAACGGTTGTAGTTTAAAAATTATAAATCCTACAGCGAAGAGCTTTATATTGTGAGAATGAAAAGACCCAGACCTACATTTTGATGCATAGTATATCTCTGAAATATTAAAAATGAAGGAACAGTCTCAGTTTAGAAATTGCCCTTCAACTTTGAGGTGGCTAGAGTGGAGTTTCAATGAATGTCAATGGGCGGCGTGAGTTGCAAATAAATGGTCATATTGTGAAAACTTTCAGGACTATGGCTTAGCCGTGGACATTTTTAGTGGCAGCAGGGATAGCTGAACGTTTTGATATAAGATTTGTGTAGGTGGGCTTGAAAATGAGGGAGTGATGGCAGTTTAGAGATCATGTCCTGATTTTTCAGCTCACACTCTAGCTTTTGTCAGCTCCCATTCTAGTTTTGAACATTCCGCCATTCATTCCTATGGGACCAATTTCAACACAAAAACACCGATATTTTTGTGAATCATTTGGCGAAACGTTCCACAAAGTAATAGCACACCAATCGGGAACAATCCACACGTTTTGGTATATTACTGTCTATGTAGTATAAAATCTGTGGGAGGAGTTAGGGTGGTAAATTTGGCTATAATAATAAGAATATATATGTGAGATAACAATAAGTGGTCTTGCCATGCAAGAACACTTAATGAGAAGTTGAACAACAAGAAAAGGGCAGCAAGCAAGCCAGGAAGAAAGAGGAGATGAGAAAGGGGTGATTGCAGTAAGATTTATCACAAAGTAACCATCCCTCCCAGGTTGATCAAACCAGGTCAAGTGTAGGAAAGAGAAAGAAGGAAAAAGAAAAATATATACTCGGAGAACGAGCCGTTTCAGTCAGGTATGCGTCTGTAAAAACACGAAATATTGCCAGGAGAGCCAGGTATCCCGAAAAACCTCCTCCCTATTGTATAGGGTAGCGGTGAGGTTCTCCGTATCCCTAAGCTCATTAACCTTAGAAAACCATAGAGAGAGTAGGAGGGTGGTCATTTTTCCAACAGACAGGAATACACACCTTGGCTGCATTCAACAACTGCATAGTAAGGGATGACTTATATTTCTTAACTGGTCTCTCCGAGAGGTGCAACAGGCAGCCCACAGGGTCATCGCGCAGGTCCACAGAGGTAAGATGTTTGATATCTGTCACCCCTAGCCAGAAAGGTCAAAGCCTCGGACTCTGCCAGAAGACATGGAAGAGAGTGCCCCTCCCCATTCTAACAGACCATTTTTAATAATTTGGGACCCTGTTATTTGTAGTTATGCCTCCCTATGGGAGGAAGTGAGAAAGAACACAAACACAGGGAGCGTGTACAATATGTATGTTTAGGACCTTCCATTCCACCTCATCCCAATTCATGGTCCATTCATCAAATAATTCTTCATCTGCATCATACTGTAGAAAGTGAGCAACATTTTTCCAATCTTCAATCTGTCAGTTTTGGTCATTTGGAGCCTTCTGGGGCCTTATTTTACCAGTGACCAGGACAGGAACCCAGTGTCACCTTATCCTGTAACCTGTCCTCTTCTAGATTCTGTGTTGTGTGTTCACAGGAAGCCTTCAACGTGGCACAGCTAGAAAGAGTGGTAACTACAGCAGCTGTGGATTCCTATGCAAAATATAGTCTGCAGGTCTCTACACCAAGGTCAGCATGTGAAGACTCCATACTGGGGTGGAGGGTGGAGAAAAGTAAGATAGTGAAGCCCTGAAGGTTATCAATTGTCTGTTGATTACTGGTAGCCTTTTACACCCTTCCTTAACCACTTGCCTACCGGGCACTTCTACCCCCTTCCTGCCCAGGCCAATTTTCAGCTTTCAGCGCTGTCGCACTTTGAATGACAATTACGCGGTCATGCAACATTATACCTATATGAAATTTTTATAATTTTTTTCTCACAAATAGAGCTTTCTTTTGGTGGTATATACTTGCCGCTGTTTTACTTTTTGCGCTATTAACAAAAAAAAAGGCAAAAAATTTGAAAAAAGTTTCTTTATTTCTATGATACAATTTTGCAACAGGTAATGTTTCTCCTTCATTGATGTGCGTTGATGAGGCTGCACTGATAGGCAGCACTGTTAGGCACTGAGGCGGCACTGATGACCTGGCACTGATGATGGCTACTGATAGTCGGCACTGACTGGCAGCACTGATGGGCACAGGTGGGTGGCACTTCTGGACGACACTGCTGGGCACAATTGGGTGGAACTGGTGGGTGGCACTGCTAGGCACTGATCATCAGGGCACTGATCATCAGTGCCCTGATGATTGGTGCCGATCCCTGCTCTGACAGTGTGAGGAAAGTGCAGCCAAGAACCGGCAATTGCATTTCGTGGTGATCAGCGTGTCTTTGGACACAGCTGATCACGTGGTAAAAGGCTGCTGTGATTGGCCTTTTACCACATCACGTGATCAGTAGTGTCCGTAGGACACAGCGATCACAGAGATTGCCGGGTGCGTGCCCCCTGGGGGCACGCAGGAGTGCGTTCTGGGAGGACGTCAGTGTAGCCGTCATTTGCCTATCTGGGGTCGGCAACTTGTTAAAATCTGCCTTATTTTGCAAAAAATTGCAATCAAGATGGCCAGATCATGCTTTTCAGACTTAAGTTCTGTGTCAGTGTGCTTCTGGCATTCCTGCATGCAAAAAAACCACCACGTCTGCCACATACGAAGGGCGTTCAAATCAAACCAGAACTTTTCAGTTTGTATAATAAAAGAACAAATTTCAAGGAGTGAAAACTGCATTATTTTTGACATACTCCCCTGCTACAATTATACACTTATCCCAACAGTCAACTAATGCCTGGAAAGCTTTGGCAAGATTTGTCAGTACACGTGAACCATTCTAGGTGCTGATGACTTCGTCGTCGGTGCTGAAATGCTGACGAATGAAGATTTGCCTCTTGTGCAATGTCACGACAGGTTGTGTGTTGATTAACCAGGATCAGGCCAATGTTCACAGGAATGACTGCTGTGGGTTTGGAACCACCCATCCGTCACTGGCGGCCATACGGCCATATTTGAAACGTTTGCAACATTCACGTCTTACTGCGGCTGAGCGTCTCATCGCTGTGCTATGCTTGAGGTCTTCTGTAGATATCTGCAGGTTTTACACCTTTGTTCACAAAAAACGTCATCCCCACACGCTGTTCCATGCACACACTAACACTTGTCTGCCATCTTGATTAAAGGTCTCTGGACCGGCCCGCGACATGAGAGCCGCCTATCAGTAATAGGACGCACTTGCCACTTACTACTGTGTTTAGTACCACCATACTAGCATCCATTTTTATACCTGGAAAATTAAGTCCCGGTTTGACTTGAACGCCCCTCGTATAATCACTCCATAATCTGCCCCATTCTCAACCACTTGACCATCTCTGCATCCCATAGAGCTGTTGCCCCCAAATTTGCTGTTGGGCAAAAGCAAAGGTGTCCCAGATAAAGAGGCTGCTGAGCATAGTAACTCCACGCAGATGGTTCTCCTTGATGTGAGTCAAACCTGACCACCACAAGGCCATATGGTCAACTGCATAGCAATCACGTTCATATTTGTTTGGCCAGCTTGGTGAACTTTTCAAAAATAGAAATAGATTTAAGATGGTTGCTTAGTGATGTAAGGAACATAAAAAGGGGGAAGGTGAGCGACATAAGGAATGGGAGGTGTTAAACAGAGGAAGCCATTAGACCACGGGTGTCAAACTGGTGGCCCTCCAGCTGTTGCCAAACTACAAGTCCCATGAGGCAATGCAAGATTGACAGTTACAAGCATGACTCCCAAAGGCAGAGGCATGATGGGACTTGTAGTTTGGCAACAGCTGGATTGCCTCCAGTTTGACATCTCTGCATTAGACAGTTGAAGGCTTTCACTATGAATATTCTTGTTAATAAATGTGACACTTTTGCGTGGAGTACATAAAGCGGAACTTCACCCTCTCCTCACTCCAGAACTGCAAAAACATAATGTCATGAAAAGATAACCAATCAGCATGGGCACAGAATGCAATGCAGGATCACCCAGAGGAGGCACCACCGACTGACATGTGGTGGCAAAAAATGTGGTTGGAGTGGTATAACCTATACTATGTATGGCCACAGAGTGAACCTTTAACCCCTCGCCTACCGAGCACTTGTACCCCCTTTCTGCCCAGGCCAATTTTCAGCTGTCAGCGCTGTCGCACTTTGAATTACAATTGCGCGGTCATGCAACATTGTACCCATATGAAGTTTTTTGAATTTTTTTCACACAAATAGAGCTTTCTTTTGGTGGTATTTAATCTCTTCTGGGTGTTTTTATATTAATAGCAAAAAATAAAAAAAAAATACATTTTTCTTTGTTTCTATTATAACATTTTGCAAACAGGTAATTTTTCTCCTTCACTGATGTGCGTTGATGAGGCAGCACCGAAAGGCACTGATGAGGTGGCACGGATAGGCAGCACCGATAGGCATTGATGAGGTGGCACGGATAGGCAGCACTGATGGGCACTGACTAGCGGCAATGCTGGGCTGCACTGATGGGCACTGGTGGGTGGCACTGATGGGCACAGGTGGGTATCACTGCTGGGAACCAATCATCAGGGCACCAATCATCAGTACCCTAATGATCAGTGCCGATCCCACCTCTGACAACTGCCAGCGTGAGTGAAAGTGTAGCCAATAAGGCTGGCCATACACTATACAATTTCTGCCCAATTTCCTTTAGATTTACCTTCAACTATGTAGTACAAGAGCCTGCCTAATTGGATACAATTGAAAGTGTTAGGTTTTATGTCATATTTTATTGTTTTTGGTAAATCTAAACCAAAAATCTCAAGAATATTGTATAATGTATGGCCAGCCTAACTGGCAATTGCATTTCCCGGTGGTCAGTGTGTCATTGGACACAGCTGATCACGTGGTAAAAGGCTGCTGTGATTGGCCTTTTACCACATCACGTGATCAGCTGTGTCCATAGGACACAGCGATCACGGAGATCACCGGGTGCGCTCCCCCAAGAGCACGCTCTGGAAGGATGTCATATGACGCCCTCCCAGAACTGGCCGGCCGCAGTGAAGCCGTCATTCGGCTATCTGCGGTGGGTGGGTGGTTAATCAGAAGCTGATGGCTCCCCTTCCCGTGGTTCCAGGGTTCTCCCGCTCTTACCGGAGCCCAGGACCACAACCGCTGGCTATGGGAGGGAGAGCACAATGAGACCGAGGCAAATCCTTGCTCCGCAGTGATGTCACTTCCAGTTTTAGATGCACCCTTTCCTGGCTGGTACAGCCATGAGGCAAATCTAACCAAGCCAATCTCTGCCTGTTTAGAAGGTGTGAAGGGCAGGAGAAACATTGGGGTCTATTAGATCCCTAATGTCTCCATAAAGAGTACCTGTCACTTGCCCAATGCTATCACACAGGGGTATATTAACTCATTATGATAGAAACCAAACCAAGTAAAAATAAAGAAAAAATGTAAAAATAAAATTGTAATAAAATATATTCCAAAAAAAAAATATAAAAAATGCCGTAACCCTCATTGACCAGCACACCCGCGCAAACACAAGCCCAGGGTGTGCATGTGTATGTAAAGCAAGGTTGCACCACACGTGTGACATATCGCGGCAAACATCAGAGTGAGAACAATAATTCTAGCACAAGAGTACCTAGTTAACTCCAAACTGATGAACTGTAAAGGCTTTTAAAGCGCACCTATGGTGATTTTTGGGCACCGTAGTTTTTGGCGATATAGTGGGCGCAGTTTTAAGACATTGAATGTTTGGTATCTATTTACTCGATGCAACCTCTCCTTTTATTTTAAACAAAAATAGGTATTCTACTGTTTCTGTGCACTAAAATTCATTTTAATTTTTTTTTTCCTGAAAATGTGCGTTTAATAAACAGTTGTGCAAATCTCATGCGACATAAAAATTTGCAATCACCTTTTTATTCTACAGGGTCTTGGGTGGGAGCAGTGCAGGAGCGGGTTGCCGTTCATAAACAGTGCCCACATATAAAGCCTGAGCGCACAACACCGCTAACCAGGGCCCACTGTGTCCCCCGGGCACAGTGGAACACCGATCGCTGTAGGGACCTCTGTGTGAGGTCCTGATCATGTGATCACTGATTGGCCAATCAGTGATCACATGAATAGTAGTAAGCAAGATGTCACTTTTGACATCATTGCTTACTACTAGTGAAATCTGTGAATGATCACAGAGGTCACATTGTACAAGGCTATTCACAACAGCCTCATACCATGTGACAAGCTGTGACCAATCACAGCTCACACAGTATTTCTCAATGGCTGCAGGAATGCAGTCAGAGAGAAGGAGAAATGATTGCTTTTACAGCCTTTATGGGTGTAAAACAAAAAAAATCTTCATCACCCCCCACAAGTAGTACAGTGTCACTATGGTGACACTGTACTGCTAGGGTGACAGTATGTTAAAAAAATAAAATAAAAATAATAATAATACGTATAAAAAAAAAAAAAAAAGTAAAAAAATTTTTGAAAAATTATAATTTTTGGTTATAAACTAATTTGGTTTATTTTTTTACTAACGATAACTGAATACATTTTGGCCAAGATTTATGAATAAAGATTTGCAAAATTTTATAAGAAAAACACTTTTTTTCAAACTTTTGTATTTTTTCATTTATATATATATAAAAAAAAATCCCAGCAGTGAATAAATACCACCAAAATACAGTTTTATCTGTCTAAAAAAAAAAAAAGCTAAAAAATTCATATGGGTACAGTGTTGCATGACCGCGCAATTGTCATTCAAAGTGTGATAGCGCTGAAAGCTGAAAATTGGCCTGGACTGGAAGGGGGGGAAGTGTCCGGACTTGAAGTAGTTAAGTAATTTTATTGCAAAAAAATTAAGATTTTTTTCATGCATGCGAAAAATAAAAATTGCTCTGTAGCTGAACTGGTTAAAAAAATAAAAAATAAATCTGCGAGTGGGTGGGAAATGGTCCAAATTTGCCCCAGGCTTAAGGCCCCTTTCAGACAGGACAGACCTGTCAGCTGATCCTCCTGCTCAGCGGGGGGATCTCTCCACTGAGGATGCAGATGACAGGTCTGTGTCCGCTGTGCTACTGCAGAGGACACAGACACAGCTCGCTGACTTCTATGTGGTGATTGGATGGAAACAGACTGCCTGTCTGTTTCCACCCAACTGTCATCTGATCTGATCTGCCGAATGGATGGAGAACAGAACCCTACCCATCTGTTTCTGGCGTACAGGATCGGATGCTGGCGGACACTTGTCCGCTGACACCCGCCTGGCCATAGAGGTCTATGGATGGTCTGTTGGGGTCCTCCTGAAAAACTGACAGGCAGACCCAATCGGACCATCAATGGGGCAGCACAGTGGCTAAATGGTTAGCACTTCCACCTGGCAGTACTACGGTCGTTGGTTTGAATCCCAGCCATGGCACCACCTGCCTGGAGTTTGCATGTTCTCCCTGTGCCTGCATGGGTTTCCTCCAGGTACTCTGGTTTCCTCCCACACTCCAAAGACATGGTGGTAGGTTAATTGGCTCCTGTCTAAATTGTCCCTAGTATGTGTATGTATGAATGTGAGTTAGGGACCTTAGATTGTACACCCCTTGAGGGTTAGGGACTGATGTGAATGTACAATATATATGTAAAGTGCTGCATACATTGACGGTGCTATACAAGTACCTGAAATAAATAAATGTGAAAAGGGGCCTAAAGTCTGCTTTCTGTAGGGAAAAAAAAAAAAAAATCAACATGTCATTTAAAGAGGGGTTTCCAAAGGCCCAAAAGTCTGTGCAAGCTCCACAACAATGAAGCTGAACTTGCCTGCAGCTTGAAAGTCAGAGAGCGACTACTTCATGGGGAAGGAATTGGCCCAGGTTCCTTTTAAAGAACAATTTCGAGCAACACAGGAAAGCAGCCAGGGAACCTTAACTTGAGGGATATCCTTCAGCCATAATCCACAGGGCACCTTGCGGGGTCCCTTCCTGCTGTGAAGCATTCCCCTCGAGCTGCTTCCTGTTACCTCCAATCAAATTCAATCTTCTTATTTGGGTCTATTTGATTGGAGGCTATGAAATACCACTTACCGTAATTCTGACATTTTTTTTTCTATGGAGACAGCAGGGAGCATTCAGTGGGCGTGTCAGAGAACTCCTCTCTTGTATCAGAAGCGGGTGTTCCAAGGTCACCAAAAACAAGGGAGCGGAGTGGACTGGAGCACTACAGTGATGATTGTCGATTCACACATGGCCTTCTAATGTTTTTTAGAGACTCCACATCCAAAGTTTCCCAGCCATAGTTTGTGTCTCTGCCCCCTCCACTGACACCATGGCAAAAGGCATCCTCTCACAGCATAGCTATATTATACTCTTTGGAGTGGGACTATTTAACAATCACATATTTTTCTTTGTATGATTTTTGTATTATTTATAATATTTTTTAAGTTGTTTATTTGTGCTGTTTTTATGGGTTTTTTTTGGTATAAAAATGATTGGGCCTAGATAAATATTGAGGAATCCATTATTTGACTTTGTAATGACCTTGGTATTTGAAAGCGGCTGGAGGAGGAGAATCTGGAGCAGCTGTGCATAGAAACCAATCAGCTTCTAGACTCCGCTTTTTCAGTTAAGCATTGAAAATGAAAGCTAGAAGCCGGTTTGTTGGCTAGTTGTCTACTGACAGAGGAGGGGGAGAAAAAGAAATTGTTGTAGTGACTGAACAAGGAGGATCTTGGACTCTTCTCTGGAACATCCAGGAAAAAAATTAAATATTTATTCAGTCTACAATTAAAGGGTCAGAACCCCCCCCCAAAAAAAAAAACTGTCAGCAGTTGGTAGATGATAGAGACTTAAACCCCTGATATTTTCTTTCTTTCTTTCTGTAAGACTTTGGTGAGTTCTGGACAGGGGCGGAGTGACAACTCATGGTGCCCCCGAGCAATAGGGGATCATGGGGCCCCTGTGTCCTTGCCCAAACTCAAAAAAGCCTATGAAAAAGGTACCAGGGGCATCTCATGGGGCCCCCTACTGACCCCGGGCCCTCGGGCAGTGCCCGAGTTTCCAAATGGTCAGTCCCCCCTGGTTCTGGATCAACTGTGGGTGTAGGATTAGAACTTTTTTTTTTTTCTATGGTTGAACTGGATGGACTTTTGTCTTTTTTCAGCCAGACTATGTAAATTCCCAGCTCCACCCGCCTGATGTGGGATTGGGGGCTAACACTGTAGATTTTATGTTTTAATTTGATATTACTGAAAATGTAACAAGAGGAGCCAGAACCCACAAAAGGTGAGTGTGGGGGGAGGGAACACACCCTAAACTCCCAGATGGGCAGGAACGGAGCTGCCGATCCTCAGTCAGTTGACAGCACCTAATGGGATTCTGACGCTTTAGACTTCCTGCTTCAGGCCAGTCCCTACCAGGGGCGGACTGACAACTCATGAGGCCCCCAGCCAATAGGGGATCATGGGGCCCGTGTCCTTGCCCAAACTCAAAAAGCCTATGAAAAAGGTACCAGGGGCATCTCATGGGGCCCCCTACTGACCCCGGGTCCTCGGGCAGTGCCCGTGTTTCCAAATGGTCAGTCCGCCCCTGGTCCCTACTGTTTTATTTATTACAGGTACTTATATGGCGCCGTCAGTTTACATATTGTACATTCACATCAGTCCCTAACCCTCAAGGGGCGTACAATCTAAGGTCCCTAACTCACATTCATACATACACATACTGAGCGGCACAGTGGCTTAGTGGTTAGCACA